GTTAACTGTGAAATATGCGCATTTAAATGTGAATGAAAGCGGAGGGTAGCGGGGAGGCGGGAGGGGGGTAGGCACACCTGGAGGCATATTGATTGCAGGGCGCACACTCGTGTGCACTTTTGTGCGGCTGTCTATCTGCTGCTCGGCTGGAAGAAGCCCTCAAGATCAAAGCTCATCTCTCCAGACGTAATTAAGCCATTTGCTGCACGTTTTTCCAATTCAAAAAAAAGAAATGTATACTCTTCGGCCCACCCACCCCCCCCCGCCCCCACCAAGGCACAGCGTCTTCTTCTTATCGCCGCCTGCCACATCGAATGGGCCGCAAAATGCAAACCAAGTCGAAGAAATCCCCCATTTAAACCGTCGAATGGGGGAGAAATATGAATTGCGCCAAATAACAAGTCAAAATTTCATCCCCCCCGAAGGCCGCGACGTACCCCTCAGAGGGGTGGACAGGGTGCCCGTTGGGCATGGAATTCGTGGAAAAATCACGCGCGCTTATCTGGCGCGGCCGTAACCTTAACCAAACCCACGCAATTAACGCCCATTGGGGGCTGTCAGTATGAAAAATGAGCCAAGGGGCGGGGCACCCACAGAGGAATACCCCATTCCATTCCAGGGCATGGGGGATGGGGGAAGGGAGAGTGTGCCCATTCTTAAGCAATTGTGAAATGATTTGCAAGGACGACGAGGCCAAAGAAATCGAATTCTACTCGACTCCTTCGATGGCTACAAATTTTAATTGCTTCAGCGATAGCGAAGGAGGACTCGGGGCGTGGCAGGACGCACAGGACTCGAGGCAGGCAGGCAGGCGGCTGCGTCTTGGCAATACGAATCGCATTGATAAGAGAGTCACGTTCTGGTGCCAGCCGTGGCCGTGGCCGGGGCCGGGGCTGGGGCTGGGGCTGGTGGGTGTGGCAAAGACAATGTTGTTGCTGTCTTCATTATCAATGACAGGAACAAACGGAAAAGAGAGGGGGGGCGGGTCGGTGGGACGGTGGGGAAGGGCTGCAAACAATGGTTACTCTTTTATTGCCTGTGCCTCAGAGTCAAATTGATAAGATGCTGAAAATGACTTGGAAAACAATAAACGTGGGCATGAAACGAATAAAACGAATAAAACGAACGAACGAACGTACATTTTTGTTCAGTTAACAGTGAAATGAATGGATAGATAGGCGGTGGCTGGCTGGCTGGCTGTATCTGCTCCCCCTACCCCCTACCCCCCAGGAGTGGTGCATAAACAGAACGTTTGCCACATTTTAATGAGTGTTTTTTGGGGGAGTCACTGACTCATTGATAGGTTCCACCCCACTCGACTGCCGGAGAGGTGCAAACTTTTGTCCCCGAAAAAACAATTTCAAGTATTCCAAAGAGCAAAACTTTTCCCCAAAAGATACTCGTAACTGGGTAAGGACTCGGTTAACCCAGGAGTCCCCTAGCTGAGGCTGAAATATGAGCTGCATCAGGGCTACCCCCCATGGCCACTCTTTAAGCCTGACCCATTTGCCCAGTCAGCCAAAAATCGGTGGAGACGCCCCCCAATCGGTGATAATTTCAAGAGCCAAAAGCTTGAGAGTCGTTTAATAAAATTTCATTCCTGCCCGTGAGGAAAGACAACAAAAGTCGCGCATCAAAGCATCATCCTGGCCAGAGTCCGTTCCAAGAGCTGCAACAAAATTTTATGAAATACTCGCAATCTCACTCGCTTTCCTTGTTGGAGCGGTGGAGCACACATTTTATGTGTGTGTGTGTGTGTGTGTGTGTTGGAGGCTATACAATTTTAGCGCTAGCAAAAGTCTCCAAAGAGCTTCTGCCTTCTGCCCTCTCCGCTGTCTGCTGGCTCGCCTTTGGCTAATAATACCAGGGCATTTACACCTTTATGGGGCGTACTTAGAAGCGTTTATTTATGCTAATGGCGGTGGGGGCGGGGCCGGGGGCAGGCAGTGGTGCTTGCCGCTAATTCTACCCCGAAGCACTGTAAAAGCATTGAAAGCCAAACAACAAGGGATACTGAGCTTAAGATTGGAGCAGGTAAACTTCCAAGGATGTGCAATGTAAGTATATTTCATCACACAGGACCCGAAAGTTCGAGCAGCTCTTGACCTCCCCATCCCCATCCCCATCCCGCATCCCCCATCAGTCGTGCCACCGTGCCACCGTGCCACCACCACCTAGCCAACATCCAACGAACGACTCTTTCGTGCTTCACATTCCTGTCTCGAATGTGTTTGTAATTTCCCTAGAGTGTGTTTGACTTTGACGACTTAAGTTGTAAAACTTTAACATTATCATTTTCACTACGAGACGGTACGATGGGACGATGGGGCGACGACGGGCAGGCGGCCATCCTGCTGGAGATCCTGGCAGCATGTGTGTGCTTCAGATGTTTGTCCTCTTTGGCCAGACAGACATTTTGATGATGTTGACCTTCGCTACTTTTACTTTCATCCTCCGCAGAGCCAGCCGCCGCCCAAGGAGCTCCCTTCGGCTGCTTCTTTTAAACTTTCCTGCGACCCCAGGACACTGTTGACATATCGCATTACAAGCGAGGAGCATGCTCGAGAGAGAGAGAAAGTTCAGGGAGCCAGGCCATGCCATGCCAGGCCAGGTCGGGCCTCCTCTGGTCTCTGGTCTTGGCCTTGGCTCGTATTACCAAATCCCAAACCGATATTTTGGTGGATTCCTTCTCGTATGTGTCAATTAGTTCAATCAGAAGGCGAACACACATCAACCGCATGTGCCACCCCCTGGCGTAGCAACCCCCAGGCCTCGCACCCACCCCTGAGCTCTCATTTTAAAGGTTTTCCCGGCTCGCGTCCGCTGTTTTCCACCAACGAAAGCGACACAAAAATACAATCAGCAAAGGAAACAAGGTAAACCAAAGCAAACCGAAGCAGCCACCCTCCGCCCCACAGTTTTTTAAAAAATTATATCAATTAGTTTGATGTATTGTGCGTGTGTGTGGGTCGTGGGTCGGGGGTCGGGGGTCAGGGTCCCAGGTCCCAGGTCCCTGCAATATGACGCCTGGGTGAAAAATTTGGGCAACAGCTTAGGTAAATACGCGTAGATGAACTCGTCTCGGGTTTCGTGTTCGAAATGGAAAAGTTGAAGGATATTGATTCGCACTGGATGGGCAGGGGCGTTCAAAAGGCTGCCGCTGGCGGCCAACCACTTGGCTGGCCCTTAGACAGTGTTGCAGTTAACCCTCAACAGATTGATCATCGCAAACACACATTAAAACCAATTCCAAACGATCTATATACGAGCCCACTTCCCATCTTCTCCCTGTTTCGTGTCAAAAACAACCTAAAGGATCAACAAAAAAGTGGGACAAATACCCAAAAATGTAGGAAAAGAGAACGAAACGATATCTTGGTAGAGTCCTATCTCTCCCCTATCTGTAGAACACAAACTCGCATACATTTCTTTGTTTCTAATTGATTTATTTATTAGTTTCTAATTTACTTTGAACCAGCGGTAGAAAGGAAAAGTATACAGTTTTACAGATCAAGATAAATACCATATTTATATACCCTAAATGGTTCAGGTTCCACCTACAGAAGGGTAAGCGAGTAGGCTTTATCCCTAGGCAGGCTGTGATCGAATTGGAGTACGGGATGCCTGTCTTTTCTTCGAACAAATGACCCTTCGAATGTGTCTCTTTCCTTCACGATCTGCTGTTTTTTCTTGAGACACCCCGAATGTGCCCCAATCACCTCTCCCACGAGCATTTCTTGGGCTTTGTTTGGAATTCTCATTTGAATCTTATCTCGCATTCAATCCAGTCCCGAACAAAACTGTTTTCATCGTCAGAACGAACCAGTTTTTTTTCTCACACATTGAATCAATTTTCCCCGTTTTGCTCCGCTTTCCATAAATGTTAACCTGATATTTAGCTCTTACGGCTTATCGCAAACGATTTCCGCGTGCGCCGTAAATTATAATCAAATTGGGAGAGAGTCAAGCTGATTTATGCATTTCCTATAAGTATGGCCAGCCAGCCAGCCCGTGCAGATCCCTCAGTTGTGCTCAACACGGGCATAACAACCCCCCAGCCCCCGCCCGAAAAGCCAAAAGGTAAACACGTCAGGAGCGGCGCTCGGCCCGGCTCACCCTTTGACACGCGTCCCAGGTCCAGGTCCGGGTCCGGGTCTGGGTCTGGGTCCTGGTCCGGGTCCTGGTCCTGGCACTCACAAAGACATAATCAGCTCGATTTCGTAAATCTCGACAAGCTGCTTATCTGATGAAATGTGAGCAGAGTTGCAAGGATCTCCGTCCATGATTAACATCTTTCGCTCATGTTCACAGAGCAGACATCCGGCCTGGGCAGGGGCTGGGCCGTTGCATGGGCCTGTCCTGTCAGGATGACAGCGCGGGCGTCAGAAGGAAACGTGCTGAACCACTCTAAGTACAGTAAGGCCCGACGCGTGCTCCTGTCACACTCGCAGAGGCAGTTGGGGCAGGGAGACGGAGAGACGGAGAGACTGGGAGACAGGGATCTCCGCACTGATTGGCATCGGAAATTGAAGTGTTTTTATTAATTCCAAAGTCGACTTTTTGCACTGTCTTCGATGGTATTGCGAATGTTTCATTTCTGGTCAAGTTCGGGCCGGCCCGTGGCCCCGGCGGGGGTGGAGGGTATTTCCGCTGCTTTGTTTCGTTTCTGTGGCCATAATTGAAATTCATCGCTGGCAGATTTCGTTGCCAAATTGATTGACAGCCGAGCGCGTGGAGAGATTGACGCTTATTGAATTGACTCATCCACTGATCATCCATCCAGCCATCCATCCGCCCATCCAGAGGGTGGCACCACTCAAAATCTGACGCAGCAACTGTTGCACCAACTCGTGTGGAAGAAGCGGAAGGAAAGAGCGTTTTGGCAGTGGGAGAAACGACGAGTATAACAGCTTTTGACTCTGTTGTCACTCCAAAATACCTCACACTCTATCCAAATTCTCAGCTCTCAGACACTCTCGAACTACATAAATTCATAGGAAATGCCTCCCAGCCCCAAGCACCGCGATGTGGCCCAGTTTCTGAGCAAGATTCGTGACTTTCTCCTGGGCCGCAGACACAAGACGGCCCACCGCTTCGCGGACACGATATCGCCGCGCACTCAGCCCCAGCCGGACATTCCGTCCGGCCCGTTTCGACGTCTGTTCGGCAACTATTACTACACGAGGGATGCACGGAGTGGCGTGAGGCCCACCATCGATGTTGTCCAGCAGCGAAAGGACATGCTGGCAGCCAAGGCAAAGGCCAAGGCTGCGGCCAAAGCAGCGGCCGAGGCAGCGGCCGAGGCACCCAAGGCAGCGCCAGCACAGCCGGGAGGGAAGCCTCCGCCACCCACACCCACACCCCCACCGCCGAAGCCCCCAAGCCCACCAAAGGCAGGTGGCGATTCCGACTCCGCTTTCAAGACCCCCCCCACACCCGGAAAGATGCATGCCTGGGACAGATCGGCAAACTATAGAAATTCCTGCTGAAATCTAATTGAGTTCCCGTCTCCACTCGGACTTAATTACGGAATCTTAGGCGCTGGGGGAGACGGAATCGACGGGACAATCGGCTCACAATGCGGCGGGTCATAAAAAATGTAAATCTAATTAAATGTCCGCTCTGGAAAATCATTTATTGCACCTGCATGAAAATTTAATTAAGCGCACACACAATTATCGGACGAAGCGGCGGACGGGCGGACGGCCGGAGGGACAGTGAGGGCCAAAAGGGTACGGACGGACGGACGGACGGACGTAAAGCCATAACAATAAATATGCGAACTTAATAACATTTAATGCCATCAAAATGTATATTTACAATTTAAAGCGAGGCAATTTGCTGGACGTTGAGTGGATTATGGGAAATTGTTAATGATGATTGCAGGTCGATTGTTAATTGTCGTCTGTCGACTGTCGTCTGTCGTCTGTCGTCTGGGAGGCTGCGAAATTTATGCTGATGACTTTCGCCCATCGATTTATTGATTGAAGTTTTGATCCCTTCTCTCAGTCGAGGCCATGCCGCCATCATTCAAACAGAAAAGAAAACATAATCAGATTTTGGGTGTTATGCAAAAAAAAAAGAAGGAAAAAGAAAAAGAAATATCCCTCGCTCAATTTACGAGTATTGAAATTACCCTTATACTCGAGAAGAGCCCAGAGAGACCCAGATCGAAGCGGAGGGTTGACTTGGCCTGTTCCCCCCTGCCCCTGCCCCTGCCCCCAGCCCCGTTTCCCGCAGCTGGAGTGTCAGATTGAAAAAGGGTGTCAATTGCCTGGAAACTCATGGGCAATGGGGGAGGGGAGGGGTATGGGGGGTGGGGGCTGTCAAGTCAACATGTTGCCGGGCTCTTCATCCGCCAGCAGCCAGGCAGCCAGCAGTTGGCGAAATATGAGACTGTAGCACACTTTTCTGCGTCTCTTATCCGCATTTCATATTTCAAGTATACACGCGTGTGTGTGTGTGTGTGTGTGTGTGTGTGTGTGTGTGTGTGTGTGTGTGTGGCAGAATGTGCGTGGGTGCTTGAGCTGATTTGTGTTATTACCTCATATGAATAGTATGAATACTCTGGCCAATTTATGTATGGGACTCCGTTCTGGTCAAGATTGGCAATCAGAAATGCTAATTTCTTGGCTACAATTACGCCCGCCCAAGTGGCCAGGGGGGGACAGGCCGGGGGGGGGGAGGCGAACCACTTTAAAAAATAAATATTCAAAAACACACAAAACTGATGCCCGCCAAGCAAACACTTTCGCAGCACCCTTTCAACCCACCCCTCGCCCGGTGGTGCCCTAGGAGTCGCCGAAAAATTGCTTGGGATATGGCGACAGCTGTGCCGCGGAGTCGTCGAATGTCAACGCTCTCCTCTCTCCGCAAAATGTTTCCCAATCAGAGACGCGTAATTAAAATATGTACAAACAGACCGGAGCCCCGTGACGGGGGAAAAACTCTCATGTAAGAAAAACAGAGAGGGGAACAGGGGAACAGGGGAAGAGCGGAGCAGCCCGAGCTCTGTTTGCTTTGCGTGTTTTCCTATAAAACCAAAAGCAAAACCAAAAGCAAAACCAAAACCAAAGCAACAAACAACAACATCAGCGGGAATCGCGTTCGGGCAATAATAACAAGAAAAACATTTGCATAAAGCAACAAACAGGGAAGGGGCCCCAAGCCCAAGCCGAAGCCGGGAAGGGGGACCGACCACCGAGAGCTTCAAGCGGAAGTTAATGAGCGCTGGCTGGGGCGTCTGGAGATGAGTGCGTGACACTACCCCAGGGATACCGAAGCCGCGACTATCGGCCAGCTAAACGAAAGATCTGTCTCTTAAGGGTTGGCAAACCCCTCGTGTGAGTCCGAAGCGTGTCACGCGTTCATCTCCGTTTCGTTCGCTTTTGGTGGGGGGAGGGAAGGGGAGTAGGAAAATCTAAAAATTCAAATGCTCCATGGAAAAATCACTTCATTAATGCGTCATTTGTAAGGGAAGCCGAGCCTGACCAGGACTTTGGCCATATGCAACATTGGCCCGGAGGCAACACGGAAGTTGTCTCCACGCTGGGCCCGAAACTTTGCGCCAAACTTGCCACCAACGAGTGTCGGAATGGGGTCGGGTATGGGGAGCGTGTGACAGTCGTGTAAAAGTTGATTATTTTTCAGCAGTAGAGATCGGAACGGGGGGTGGTGTGGGGTGTGGGGCCACCTTGCCGCTGGTACAGTGAATAATGACTTTTGCCACCGTTCGTCGGGCCACGGACTGGGGACTACGGACCACGGACTGCCGACTAAGGACTGTGTGAGTGAGCTGCCTCCGGGCCAAGTTTACGTGCTTTTTTATCTGTCGCCCTCTCGGAATTCGGGGGAAGGTCCTTAGCTTTTGGTTTCCTTTCCACTCTCTCCCTCTCTACCCTCCCTCCCTCCCTCTCTCTCTGCTGTCGCAAAGTTATGCAGGCTCATTAAGTTGTTGTACAGTTTAGAGAGAGAAAATTGTCAGCTTGCTTAATTTGGCCAAGTCCGGGGTGCGTGCCACGGGGCGCAGAGTGGCGGGGGCAACGGAACTCGAGTATAAACAAAAGACTTCCTTGCCACGGCCCCGGCTTTTGTCCTCCTCCTGGCTGGCAAGTAGCTCATGGCGAGTGTTTAATGAAATGAATTTTAAGAGAGAATTTATTATTATTTTGCCCTAAAATGAAATGAAAAGTGTTCCCCAGTCCTTCGAATATAATTAAGCGGGACACTGCCAGAGATCCCTCAAAGGAGGAAAGTGCCAATTATGCTTATCAGCGAACGAATATTGCCGGCACGAGGCCCAGTTCTGATGATCCATGGCATAGAACCATGGCACCAAACCAAATGGGTTACCGGAATATTTCCACTGCGACTTGAACAGATACGACCCGAAATAAATGTTCTAAAAATGAGTTCCAAAAGCTACTATTTAATATAAATAATAATGAATAATTCTTTAAGCAGGAGACTCCTTCTGGACCCTTCCAGAGCACAGTCTATCACGGCCAGTACTTAATATTCAGAGTCCATCGGTGGAGTGACTTCCAAACTATTTAGTATCTGCACTAATCCACCCTCTGATTTCTGTCAAATATCATCTTTCATTGGGAGAACTTCTGCCCCGAAACGGTGCACCGTTGACCACATCAACTTTTCCGCTCTGACATAATTTCACCTTCAATTAAACTTGAGGTAATTGACAGGGAAGGAAATCCCCATTCGGGTAACCACAGGGTGAGTGCGGAAGGTGGGGAAGTCCCAGCCCCCTCCCCCCTCCCCCCCCCTTCCCGACTAGTCTCTGAAGAGATAAATGGCGATGCCTTAAACTGATTGTGTGGATTAAATTGCCATATTGGCGAAATTGGCAGAGACACGGCGTCACTCCATTCTGTACTCCCCCCCTGTAGAAGTACAGTGCGACTCCGCTTCGCTCCACTCCGGCTCACCGGCTCTCCAGGACTCTCCAGGGCTCGCTCTCTCTCCTCCGGCAAGTATCGAAAACTTATTTTTGATAAGCGCAATTATAATTGGATTTGGAGGAAGTTGCCATCGCATGTTGCGGGCAGGTAGCGCCACAAGAAGTCCTTCCTTCGATCCTTCGGAGTTGAAGATTGAGTCAGGGAATGATTAATCTACCTCGGGAGTATTTAAAAGCCAGTACTACTCCCAGACGGAGACGGAGAAGGAGACGGGGACGGGGACGGAGACAGAGAAGCAAGCCAAAAGGAAAATTGGAAAATGCGTTGTTTGGGTGCGATAAAGACGTGTTGTTTGGCGTTGGGTGCTGGCTGTTGGTTGGGTCTCCCACCGTGTTTTCTTTTTGTAAATGTTTGCTGTCAAGATAAGGACAACACAGCGTGTGGTTGCTCCTCCTCATCCTTGGATAAGGGTTCTTCTCAGAGGCGGAAAAGGAGTTTGTCAGGGAGTGGAGTTTTGCGTTGCTAAGCCCGTGGACGTGGACGTGGACGGAGACGTGGACGGAGGCGGAGACGGAGACGGGGACTTAACAGGAGACAAATGAAGTTGTTAGCGGGTGGCGGCCCCAGAGAGAGCTAGAGACAGATGCAGTTGCCTGGCTGTTGGCTTTGATGTGTTCTCACTGCTCCAGATGACTGGTCATTCGGTCATTAATTGAGTTTAATTATTGGGGCGTTAATTGGGGTGGCCCTCCACCCAATTCAAGGGCGGGCTGGGCTAAGCCCTCGTTAAAGCCAGATTAATCGATGCCCAAGCAGGTCCTGGAACTTATAGCCAAGCTTTGATTAGTTGCAGAACTGTCAAAGATTCCAGAGGATAACCCAACCGACACCCACCGCCCCACCGCCCCATCCGCCCACCCGCAATGTCAATAGCTCATTAAAACTCTCCGCATAACTCAAGACGGGCCAGGGGGCATCTGGACCACACAACCCAAAATGATAGACATTTATTTGTGCCCATAATTAAACGCAGACAATGCCAGGCGGCATTGTGCGCCGGCCACGCCTCCCTTGTCAAATATTTCAGCCCTGTGTTGGCAACAATTTACAAAATGCAAATGGCAACGCTTCCGCCCCAGCCCCCCCACCCCACTTCCCCCCCTTTCCTGCCTCTAATGAGGCTGCTGCCAAGTCAAGGCATAAATTTGTGAAATTTCAGAAATTTGGGAAATTTTGGGTGCTTCTGCCTACGCCTGGGGCGCTTCTGTCCGTCCATCCGTCAGAAATCCCTGCCACATGTGACTTCCTCCAGCGCCTCATTGTTGATTTTTCTAAATGGAAAACCAACAATTGAC